TAAAGGAAAGAAAAATTATTCTTGGGGAGTAATTGTTTCCTACATTCTTCTGCCTGACATGATACTACATGATTTTATCCAAAGTCTCCTGCACCTCCACAGATCCATATGCACAGAAACCAAAATTGCAATAGTCCAATGGGATCTTCTGGGGGAAAAAAAAAAGCTTAAATGCTGGGTCCCCCATCAACCATTAAAATGACTCCCCTCTGTTAACAGCAAAATCATCTCCAGGGAGATTAAGCAACACCGATGCTAGTCTTCCTCCAGGCCAGGTCGCCATGGGTGTCACTGCACTGGACGGTGCATTTCAGAGATGAGAACACAAGAAGCTGAGAGGTCACAGGCCTCCGTCACACACACTACAGTGGAGCAGGGATTTAAGCCAAGCTCACTGGGACTTGCCAGGGCCTAAGGTGTCAAGAGAGAAGGGATGTCCCTGTATGTCCCACATCCAATGTCAAAGCCAGCGGCACTGTGACTGCATGCTGCCCATGCACCATGAAATCTCACCCCACAGCCAAGGAACTCTGAAAGGCCCACCTCCAGCCATGGGATATGGGGAGCCACTGGGGACAGATTTGGAAAGTGCCAAATGCAGGTGGCATTTATGACATAAGTGTCTTCCACCCTTCCTGTGTTGCTTTTCCCACCCTTAACTCTGATCAGCACAAACACAGAATGGAAAGTGTCAGGGAAATGGGGATGATGGCAATTCAGGACACAGGCTAGGTACATAGAATAGTGTTTCTTCGGAGATGCCTTCTTCCTGGGCCAGGTAAGCCCATCCTTCTCCTGGCAGCAAGCATGGACTCATGACAACCGCAAACATATAAAATACATCTAAGGACATGAAGACACGCGGAGAGGTCCAGTGACTTGAAAACATGCTTCTTTTTCATACTTTATTCCTATTATCATTTTGAGCAGCTTCTCTGCAGGGAATGCTGGCACAGAAGGCTAAGGACCCAAGGCTCAAAGTTCAAGCCTCAATCCTGGCTCTCTGAAGAGATGGTGTCACCTAGTTTTTGTCCCCAAGCCCCCAAGCTACAGTTTGCTGTATGGTCCAGAGAAAAGAAACCAAATAGCTAGTCCTCAGCATTCTTATCTATAAAATGGAACTTTTTTTTTTAAAGGCAAGACCCTTTGAAAACCTGGGAACAAAAGTTTCTGCATGAAAAATAGCAGATATTCTTTTGTGATTAATACCTTCAGCGGTATGATTGCAATAAGACGCAATGAAAACAATCTCCCCACTGGCTCCCTCTGTTAGTCCAAACAGGCAGCTCCACTTACAAGCAAAACCTTCAATTCAAAAATCTCTTCCATCCATTTGAGAAAGCCAAACACAGGAAAGAAAAACAAAACAATTAGCCAGAGACCCCTGTGTAGTTAGAAATCCTTAGATTGTTTGGTAGCCTGGGATAATTTTCTTTCACTTTCAAAGTGTTAGAAATGTTCTGGAAAAGTCCTCATTGTTGCTGTCTTTTACCCATTTTATTCCTCTAAGAATTAGCTTCATTTTAGCATGATTTCTGCATAGTGCCTCTCTGCCTGGACATTCCTGGGACAAATCCTTGAGAAAGCTCCTCCTTCACCTTCTTCTCCACCTCCGGCCCAACCCAGGATGTGAGTGTTAATGAATAAACCAGTAAAATAACTCATTCTTCATAGTGTTCATGCTGGAAATTGAGGGGCTAGAGCAGGTGACTACACAGCACTGCAGACTGGACACAGACTTGCTCACCCTTACAAAGCGGCCTTCAGATGCTCTCTTTTATTCAAAGGCAGCCACGTTTTACAGGTGATGCCACACCGTCACCAATGACATTTTAAGGACTACAACAATTGCAGTTTTGTGTCCAGGGTCCCGCCACCAGTGCGCCTGAGCCTGGAAGCAGCTAACAGCTCTTGCGTCCAGCTCTACGAGACATTTTCTGGGGTTTTCCGACCCTCGTCCCCTTGCAAACCAGAAGCCAGATTGCACCTTTGTACCCGGAAGCAGTCTGTGGTTTAAATTAACAAATGTGCTGACCCCTGAAAACAAAAAGGGTGCTGATGCATTTATATTGTGTCAGATTCCCTCCTGTTAGGTGTGGAGGGGTGGGAACGGGAACCTCCAGGGCACGCAGTTTTCTAACTAGAGAAAATGCCAATGGCCCCAGTGCCCCCTACTATACCCCAATCTCCTTTGGGGACACATCATCTCAGGGAAAGCAAAGAGAAGTTCAGCCAGTAGGCATAGAGAAAATATAGATTATCAGACAATACCCTGGGGTGAGAGAGGGGACAGGACAGTTCATCCGGGTTTTGCTTGGGTTCATTAATATTAAAATATAAAATAAAGGCTATGGCCTCTCTGTCCATTTCCTAAGTTCCGGACCCTTCCCTTTGCGCTGGGGGAGCTCCAAGAGGTGGAGACTAAAAAGTCCCAGCTGCTCTGGAGGACTGTCGAGGAGTCCAGTCTGGGGCTCACCTGCGAAGGGGTGTAGGTCAGGAATGAAAAGAAATGAAAAGAAATGGAGTCACCGTAAAAGACGCTGAGGGGACAAGGGGGAGAGGAGCACAGGAAAGAGGGCACAGTGGTGCAGAAACGGATGCAGAGAGGGAAGCAGGGAAAAGAGAGGGGAGAAAAAACTAAGAGGACAAAGGGGAGGCAGGGAAACGTGAGGAAGGAAAGAAGACTGGGTAGGAAGGAGAGGGGAAACAAAGGGAGAGAGGAAACAAAGACCGAAGGGACGGGACTGATTCGAGGGGGAGAGGGGAACGGAAGAGGGAGGAGGGAAGGAAAGAGGGAGGGGGAGGGGTGCCGAACAACCTCGGGAGAGGTATGAAAGGACACTTGAGGCTGGCCGGGGAGGGAGGCCACGTAGGCGCAAGGATCCGGAAGAGGGTGCCACAGTCTAAAGCCAAAGTTCAGAAAAGCCTAAAACTCCTGGGCGGCAAAGGAAATGTAGCCGCCGGGCCGGTGGGCAGGGCGAGATCTGGGGGCCAATGGGGCGGGCCCCCAGCAGGCCGGCTCCCGGCACCTCCTCGGTGTGTCCAGGGTCCTGCGCGCGTCGCCGGGACTGCAAGGCCGAGCTGCGCGCCCCGGTCCGCCCGCGGGTCCGCTGCTTGCTCCGGGCTCAGGGAAGCGCTGCCCCTAGGAGGTCGAGGCCGGGATGGGCAGTCCGTGTAAGCCACTCAGGCCGTCTGGGGCCTTGCCGCCGGGGCTGGGAGGCTTCCGGTCGGCCACTGCGGGAGGAAGCACAGGGACATCGGGTCACTGGTTGGCGCGGCTCAGAGCGAGACACCTGGAGGCCCGGGACCTCCGCAAATTCGGGTGACAGCGCGAGGATCCGGGGTCGACACTTTAGGGTGTTGGAAGAAGGAAGCAGGGACCTGCACTCTCCATGGGCCCCACGCGCGCGCTAGCGCGCCCACCCTTCCAGATTCCCCTTAAGGGAGCCACTCCAGGGCACAGACTTTGCCCTTTTGCAAACGCTCCCTGACCGCGGCCCGGGTGCACTTGCGTTTGCCCAGCACGCTCTCAATAAAGGAGACGATGGGCTCGGGGCTGCCCGGCCTAGTCGTGCACCCCGGGGCGAGGAGAGGTTCTCAGCTCCAAGACCGCAGGGAAGGAGACACGGAGCTGAGACCCGCGCGCCCCTCCTCCAATGGCCACCAGACACCAGCCACGCGCGCAAGTCGTGGGGAACGGGGTGGGGGGAGCTCCCAGCGGGTCAGGTCCGCTGTCCCTCAAGCTACTTGGGGCGCTCGCGGTGCGCAGGGGGCAACCTAGTGGAAAGCGGGTCACCAAAGCCGCCCCTAGTGGACGGCCCGCGGCCGCTTGGATCCCTACCACACAGGAGGCGGCCGTGCTTTAAGTGGGAGGCCGTCTTCGTTCTGCCCTGCGGCCTGGGGACCCAGCTGCGATCCCCCACTGCGGAAATAGCATGCCCCAGGGCCTACGGGCCTCCGGATTAAGTGACAGTGGATTTGCCAGATCAGACGGCATTCTGCGTGTTGCTCTATTATTTCGGGTTTTGGGAAGGGGCCCAAGCGCTGCCGCTGGAAACCAGCAAAGTGACGGCACGATTGCGCAACCTGTTTCTCCTTTCCCAGCCCCCGGCCGCTCAGCTTTTCCTGCTGGAGGCACAAATTGTTTATACCTAAAGGCTCCCATTTTCAACTTTCTTTCCCCCAGCCCCCTTGCAAGTGCTTTTTTAAAGGGGTAGCTCGAAGCGCCTCACTTTGGGATGAGGGGGAACAGTTTCCCCTGCAGCTGCCCGCACCCCAGTCCCAGGTGCCGCTTGCCGTGGCTGCGCGGAGCTGGGCCGGATGACCCTGTTGGAGGGACGGGGTCTCTCTCTCTCTCTCTCTCTCTCTCTCACACACACACACACACACACACACACACACGCACGCACATCTGGTTTCGCAGAGGTTTTGAAGCTATCTGAAGACCTTTTCAGGACACAGTGATCAGTCTGCTCTCCCTCGACTCTCAGCTCTTTCCTAAACACAGTTGTGTCCGCTCAGCCAGCGAGGTCTATAGACCCTCGCTTTCCACTCTGTGCGATCGCTTCAAGGTGAGGACCTGTTTAGAAAACATCAGAGGAGGAGGAGGTTTCTCAGCTTTGGGCCGGTTGCCTTAGACATAAGCGAGAAAATGAACTGGTAAAAAGTTAGCATCCAGGAGCCCAGAGATAGATTCCACCCCAGCCTAGTGGGGTGACTCCTGCAGCTGAGTTTTTAGTTCTGTCCACACCAGGCCCTTACCACAGGACCTTTCCTCCCCTCCTTTCCCACACGCAGGGCCCAGGGCAACGTGAGTGGCTGCATAGGGAAGGCCTGGGAGGCTTGAACGGCCTTAGGTGCCCTGCATGCTCATTTAATCTTAGTGGGCAGGAATGGGGACAAGCGTTTTCAAAATACTGGGACTGCGATTGCAGGGCCACTGGGAACTTAGTTGGGGCGGACACAGGAGGGATCTGGGAAGGGGTCTCCAGGCCAGGTCAAAGGAAAGCGGGCTGGCCGCTGCTGGTCTCTCCCACAAACGCCTGTACCCTGTGCGGCTCTCTGGCAAAGTTTGCTTTCTGGATTAATCCTTCAGGTGCTAATCCCAAGCAGAGATGACTGGAACGAAGCTTCAAGTTATGTTTGACAAATACAACATATTTTCTTGGAGAAAAGCAGTATCTTATAGATTCAATATTGAAAACTTTAGTCTTTCCAAAGACACTATGGGAGGGATTTTAGAACCACGAGATTTTGATGGTTCTGGAAAACACACTGTAAATTATAAATACTAGCTGTCCTGAGCGAACATCTGGTGGCCTCTGTCACTTGTCTGGAGGCAGGGAAGGTGTGTGTGGAGATGGTCCTGCTCTGGCTATTACAAGAAAGTGGATGGGTGTTGAGATTCCCAGAATATCATGTCCCCTCCAAATGTAGAGGAGGCGGAACTTTCTTATTCTCTCAGGCCCCAAGAATTAAACTTTCCTTTCACAGATGGAAAACATAAATCATATTTTCTCACTTACATAAGAGGGAGCCCAGCTTCACTACCCTTTACCAAGATAAAATTAATATGTTGCAATGTGTAATTTGACATTTGATTTGGTAACAGTTAATGTCCATTTGCACCTGATTTGGAGAATGCATTGAAACATATGTATGTGTAGATAAGTAGATACAGTATTGTGTGTGTTGTGCGTGTATGCACTAGATGACCAAAAGTATTTGCTTTTTACTGAGCATTCATGATATTCAGTTGCTTTCCATACAGAAATTGTTACTGAAAAAAATTCCTACTATTCTTCAAAACTGAACAATAATTAATGATAGTAACTTGTCTTATGGGATAAGTGTCTTTGAAGATAATTTAAGTAATGATTAGAGAAATTAAAGGCAGTGATTCTTATTACTTTGTAATTTTTCAAAGACCAGTTGGGGAGGGGGAGGGAAAGTGAAGGTCTTTGAAGTCAACTTTTCTGCCAGTGAGAAAAAGGGTGAAACTCCATGCCCCAAGTAGGCATGTAATTCTCATTATTTTTATGTTCCTGTTCAAACACTAACACTTGAAATGACAGCTTGAGAAATCGTTTTCGATGATGAGCCTGATTTATTCAATGATTCTTTACCTAGATCTCTAAAGAACTATGGGGGTCAGGAAATTAAGGTATTAGTAACTAAGGTAGCTAATTATTGCTGTGGATTTTGAAAATGGGTGGGATATTTCATAATAGAAAGCAAATATGCTGGTAAAAAAAGGGCCATGAATGCCAGTGTCATTCAACGGCTCTGCATTTCTGAAAGAAAAGTATCTTCTAAAGAAAATCAGCCACCAACGAATCCCCCCTCAGTCAGCTAGAATTAGTTTAGAATTCTGAACTGTATGTTTTACCTGTGAATTGTTACCTACTCATCATAATTTGTTTCTCATGTAGAGTTTGAAATTTCTCAGGACAAAGTTTGTTTGGTTAGCAAACCAAAGGCATTATTCTGGAGGTATGAGTCCCTTTTCTGAAGTCTTCCTTCTCCCTGAGATCAGCCCAGGGGAAATTATTTAAATTTGTGGGTATACTTTTCTATTTCAAATGAACCTGCCTCGTTAAATGATTTGTGTAATGAAGAAAATTCTGTTTCTATTTCTAATTTAGCAGATAACCTCTAGCTGCTGATAAAACAGGAAGATTTGAGGTCAAGAACAAGACCCTGAGTAAAGCAATCATCCTGAGACCCCCCACCCCCATTTGCCCTTACATATAAAGCTTAAAGGGATATTAATACTCAGTTTTTGTAATTTATACTCCAACATGTTTGTGCTCTAAAAGAAGTGGAAACAGCAATTTTTTTTTCCTCCACTTGACTGCTACTGTTGACATCTTAATCTTTTCTCTCTCTTTCAGATCATGCTGTTGATCTCACTGAAACTACATGCAAATACAGCTTTTTGCCTGGACGTCACAAAGAAGGACTTCTGCCTTGGCAGGTGTGAGGCAGATCAGACGGTAAAGATCCCTTTGTAATCTGGAACATCCCTCTGCCCCACACTGCCCTCCAAGTTTGTGCTCAGTCTCCTTCGCTGCTGGGAAGGGAACGCCTTCCTTTTCTAGGGTTGTAGAAGTTGCAAAATTCTGGTGATGAGAACCTCGATGCAGGAAGTTTTGAAATTAGCATATCCAGTCCTTCCGTTCACCAACAAAGAAAAGGAGACTCAAGAGCAGGTGAGCTTTTCCCAAGTTATAGGAAAAAATAGTACCCAGAAGGCAGTGTAAGAAGATGCCCCTCACTGTTGACCATCAATTAAATACCTCAAATCTGTTAAGTGGACTTCTTGGAGTGGATTTATGGAGGGAGAAGAGGAAGGAGAATTTCCAGCTGCATTTCCCATAGAAACAAGGATGCCAGATCACACAGAATTCAAGAGTCTAGACTTGGGGATACATGGTTGAAATGTTCTCTCCATTCCCAAAGCATGTGTTTAAGGAAATGAATCAGAGAAACCAAGAAAAAGAGAGACCAGGGGAAAGAAGGAAGGAAGGAAGGAAGGAAGGAAGGAAGGAAGGAAGGAAGGAAGGAAGGAAAGGAAGAAGGAAGGAAAAAGAAAAAGAATAGGTGGTGCCTGGAAGAATCCAGCTGTAGTCCACAAAGCTCTGCAAGCCACAGAAAGGTGAACCTGAAGGTGCTTCTGGACCCTTCAACAGATGGAAAAATTGAGAGCCAGAAAGGAACAATAACTTGGTCAAGGGCACAAAACAAGGTTGGAACCTAGGAGTCCTGTTTGCCAGCCTGACCCTCTTCCTCTCTCTCCCTACAATTCAGGAAAGACAGTCCTGAGGTCTCTTTCAAACTCTACCTGCCTTTCCAGGGACAGAGCATATACACCATACACACCTGTTAAAATCAATCTGCTCCAAGAAGCTACAAGTTTAGTAAAGATTTATGCCTGGGAACCACTCCAGCTCTCCTCTCTCTTCTCTCTCTCTGCCTCTCTCTCCGTCCCTCTCACCACGACCCAGCCCACACTCCAACACCCTTCCTAACCCTAGGGGCATTCATCCGACCCCTTCCCTGCCAGCACCCCTCACCTTCCCGGCTGGGATGCTTGAAGGTCATCGCTGCGGCCAGCTCCCCGCCGTGCACAGTGACGCCGGCCCCGGGGGGCGCCAGCGGGGGGCCCTGCGCGGGCGACCAAGGCGGGCCGGGGGCGAGGTAGCCGCCGGCCGGTGCGCTGTACACGCCGTGCTGGTTGGAGGCAGGGTAGGCGCAGGCCGGGAGGAAACCGCCTACCGCAGAGAGGCCAGAGGCCGACTGTGAAGATCGAGAGGGACAGACCATCAGCAGCAGGCAGTCCCCCCGTATTCTCCCTTAGGCGCAATTACTGAGCTGGGGGGATCCTCATTTCCCCCAGCTATCCCCTCGGATCCCCACGGTAAGCCTGGCCGCTAATTTTCCCAGTAAGGACTCTGGCAAAGTGATGTCCATGTAAATTGTTATAAATAATAGTGAGTGGTTAGGGGGTCATGGTATTTACCACCCAAGATTTAGAAGGGAGTCCTCTACCATCTGTGTTCCGGGTTCCAGCGTTTTAAAATAAATGTATCTTGGCAAAAAGCAAGGCAATCCCCTGGACAGGCAGCCTCCCCAAACTAGCGCGATTCAGAAAATGAGAGAAATCTGTGGCGCAGACTCTCGCCGGTGGGGTAGCCAGACACACCAACACGTTCGCCAGCCTGGGGAAGAGTTCTCTTCCCTTTCTCTCTGCCCCCACCCTCCGACCCTCCCGCTCCCCAGTTAAAGACAACTCCTTCCCCGGCGCGCGCCGCCTGGCTACCTGAGTGTATTTAATGTCTGCCTCCAAGGCAGGTTTCTCAAGACCATTCACTCCAGGGGTGGCCGGGAAGGCCGTGCGGTTCACGCCGGCCCAGTCTTCCATCTTGGGGGAGTAGGCGGCACCTTCGCTCCCAGCCAGGGCCCCTGCGGGGACACAGGACGGATTAGAAGGGGCATCCCAATCTGCGCTGGGCACACGCGCGGCCCTCGGGCCGGGACGTTTCCACACAAGCCTACAAGCACTTGGCCGAGGGTCCTCCGGAACACCTGAGATACTCAAAAGCTCAGAAAGCGATCGGAGGCAGAGGGGCGGCTGGGCACCGGGTTTCGCTTTCACTCCTAGCAGGGCATAGGGAAGAACGGCCTGCTCCGCGCTCCTCCCAGACTTCGACCCGCTTGCCGCGAAATGGGAAGTCTCTAGCGGGTACTCGGCCTGTAAGGCAGGGGCTGGGCGCACTCGGCCGAGGCGCCTTTCCGCTGTCCACAGATGGCACCCGGAATGGTCCAAGTTCACATCCACAGCAGGCTCATGACTATTATATGGATTCTTCAGTCTGAACAGGCGTCTGGAAGGCGACACAGAACTGCCTCCGGAGACCTACCAGATCTCCCAAAAGAGGCAACAACACAGCCACCACATGCTTCTCTGACGCATGTCTGCTCCCCCAGCACTTCGTGTGCATGGGGAACCAAGAGAAGACTCCAGATCTGAGCACAAGCCTGATGAGGTCACCTCCCAGCCAAACGCCCACTAATCCTACCAAGGGAGCTTTGGCCCTAGCAGGTGGCCCAGGCTGGGTTTGAATCGGGAGAAACAAAGCTGTGCTGGGCCTCGGAGGGACCCCAAGGCATCTGGGGCTAAGCTTTCAGTTTCCTTCCAGCTGTCCCTCCCTCCTCTCCCTTGGGATGAGGTGAGTTTTGCTTTTTACCCCCCTCCTGAGTCTGCTCACCTAAGAGCACGCCATTCCCTGGTCCGCTGTTGGGAGAAGAGGACAGTGTGAAGAGACTCACAAGTTCTTCCTGAGCCCCAACCATGACTGCCCCAAACCTCCCTCCCTCCTTCCGCTCCCTCCCACTCCTGTTGAGAATGAGGAGCAACACTTTGCTGTGTTATAATTGCAGACAACGAGCAAATCCTTGTGGCACTCCCCTGACCCCCGCGGCTGCAGCCCTGGGGCTCTTGTAAAGGAGACCCCAGCTCCAGGAGCTACAGGGCCACTGGGCCTGCTGGAGATCTGGGCCACTTGACAAGACCAGCTAGACAACCCCCCTTTGGCCTTTACTCAAAAGAGCCTTTGGGCCTGAGAAGAACAGAACCCTCTAGGGTACGGTAAGGGAACCCAAAATATCGGGATATAAGAAAGGGTCGCAGAATTGACTCTGCGGTTTGTTTAGCTTAGATCTGGTGATAGGAGTTTGCATACTTTTTGCAAGAATGAAAAAGCGCAATTTCAGGCCTCTGAATTTGTGGTCGGCGATTGCTCTTCCATTTGAGAAATACTTTCCATATTTGTCATAAAAAGTTCAAGATGTCCGAGCACTCCCACAGAAGGCGCAAGACCCTCAGTCTCCCTGGCCAGCCCTGAACCCTCCCTTGAGCCATAACCGGTCTGAGGAGGATGGCAAGTGTGATCCTTCACCCGCATGCCCGCCAGCCCACCCCACCCCCCAGTCTCCCAATTCTGCCCCTTCCAGGAACGCAACAGAGGGTCGCTGAGACTGACCTGTTTGCTCCATAAATGTTCGGATGCCCAGGATATTGCTGACCGAGTGCGCCGAGGGCCACGAACGGGGAATGCTGACGTGGCTTGCTGTGCCCGGGACCCCGTGGTGGCTGCCCATCTTGGCGCCCGTGGGCGACACAGGGCTGGGGTAGGGGTATTGGTAGATGTGGTTGTAGGGCAGGGCCGGCTGCGGCGGCGGCTGCTTGCTCGCCTCGTAAGGCCCCGGCTGACCCAGGCTGCCAATCTTATTGCGCAGGATTCGGCTGATGGAGCTCACAGAGGGCACGTTGTATTTGTCGCAAACGCCGTCGGCCAGCAGCCGGTCGCGGATCTCCCAGGCAAAGATGCCAGGGTCGCCCTGCTTGTAGTCCCGGATGTGCTTGACCACGTTGGGGGTAGTGACACGAGGTTTGCTGCCCCCGATGGCCCCGGGCAGGATGGACCCTGTCTCGTTGTAGCGCGCCAGAATCTTGCTCACGCAGCCGTGGGATACGCGAAGCTGCCGGCTGATGTCACAGGGTCGGATGCCCAGCTGCGCCAGCTCCACGATGCGCAAGCGGATGGCGTTGGGCAGGGGGCGGCCGTTGACGAACACGCCGCCCAGCTGGTTCACCTCGCCGTACGTCTGCTCTGCGGACGCGCCGGACGACAGTAAACGGGAGGGAGAGAAAACACCGGCGGGTTAGCCAAGAAGGGTGGCCACACCAGACGAGGGGCCGCACCAGGCGCGCCTCTGAAAGTGACCAGCGGGCGGATCCTCAGAATCTGCGAGCAAACGGACTGTGTCCGGGCTCCGGGAATGGGCACCCGCGTAGGGACCGCGGAGGGGGACGCCGCGCGCTTCAGCCCTGTAAGCCCTTTCTCGACTTTTCACGCATCTAATTGGAAC